TTTCGCATAACCTCTAATAGAAGCTCCCAGTCCACCAAATCATAGGCCTTTTCAAGATCCAATTTACAAATGAAACCTCTCTTCCTAGACCTTTTCATTTCCTCCACACACTCATTCGCAATTTTGATCTGATTTGTTATTTGTCGCCCTTGAATGAAAGCCCCTTGGGTTTCACTAATGATCGAAGGGAGGACTGTTTTGATTCTCAACGAGAGCAATTTAGCCAGAATTTTATAGATGCTTGTCACGAGACTAATAGGCCTATAATCTTTTGGGTGGTTGGCATCATTCTTCTTAGGTATCAAGGCCAAAAAGGTGGCATTAATTCCAGGGCTTATAATGTGATTGTCTACAAATTCCTTAAAGACTTCAACTAAATCCTCTTTCAACACCTCCCAACAGTCATAATAAACACCCATTGTAGATCCATCTGGACCTGGAGCCTTGAATCTATCCATTAGAAAGATAGATTTCTTAATCTCTTCTTCCTCCAAATCCCTTTCCAGCCACATTGCCCCTCCGTCATCAATTCTTGGCCATTCCACCCCTTCCACGACTGCTCTCTCACTCAAAGGTCTTCTATAAATCGATGTGAAGTGGTGCACAAATTTTTTGGGTTTGTTATCCTGGTTGGTAATCACCTCTTCTCCTATCTCTAGCTTGGTCACAAGATTGTTTCTTCGTCTCCCATTCCAAATCATGGAAAAATCTAGTGTTCCCATCGCCTTCCTTAATCCACTTGTGTCTAGATTTTTGTCTCCAACTGATTTCTTCCCACAGAAACACCTCTTCCAAATCCTTTTTCAAATGTCTCCTTAACACTCTGTCCTCCTCGGTCAGCCCATTTTGAGATTCCTTTACATCCAAGTTTTCTATTCGAGAGATTAGGCACAATTTTTCCTCCTCAATTCTACCAAAATGATCTCTATTCCACTCTTTTATTTTGGCTCTCAACCTTTTTAATTTCTTATGGAACTTGATCCCCTTCCATGTTACCCCCCTCTCATCCTCACCCCACCATTCCTTCACTTTTTTTCCCAAAATCTGGATGGGTAAGCCACATATTTTCGAATCTAAAAGGTTTGGGTCCTATAGGAAAAAACTCAGTGCTTATCTGGATAGGACAGTGATCAGAGGTGACCCTGGGTAACGCTCTAGCAACCAAGTTTTCCAAACCATTCTCCCAAGCAAGGTTAAATAAGAACCTGTCCAACTTCGAACACAAAGGGGTTTCCTGAAGGTTGGACCAAGTGTAACTGGCTTGCAGCAGAGGTATTTCCTTCAATTCACATTTTTCAATAAAACCATTAAATTACCTCATGCTTGTTGTAATTACCTGTTGGGGATTACTGGTTTCATCAGAGAATCTAATGACATTAAAGTCCCCGCCCAGGCACCAAGGGCCATCCCATAGCCCCTTGATTGCATATGGTTCCTCCCACATCTCATTCCTCTCTCTATAGGAATTAGGGCCATAAACATTGGTTTAGACCCATACACACCCATCCTCTACATTTTTACACTTAATGGAAACTGAGAATCTGCCTATCAATTCTTCCACTACTTCCACCACATCCTCTCTCCACAGTGTTACGATCCCCTCCAAGGCTCCCCAAGGAGGAGATGAGCTCCAACCTAAACCTCTAGACCTCCAAAAGCTCCTCACCCATCTCCCATCTAATTCCATCATTTTGGATTCTTGTAACAACGCAATATCGGGTTTTTCCCTTCGGAGTAGGTCTTTGATCACCCTTCTCTTTCTTGCACTCCCWAACCCTCTTRCATTCCAGCTAATAATTTTCATTGAGACAAAATAGCAAAAAACCCATGAAAAGGCCATA